CCAGCTTCACCTACTGCCTTCTTCCGCCCCAAGAGAAGTCTCGAGACGCTACAAACATATCGAAAAAATTACATCGCGGATTTCTCTATCACATTTGCATACGTAAAACTCTCAAGTAAAATGGCAATGACTCCTACCTAATTCCTTCATGGTCGGCTAAAACCCAAATGGATAGATTTAAGCTACACTGATGCGCGAGCAGAGTAAAAGAAGAAGACGAAATGAGAAGCTACTCTACTAATTTATGTGCAATTCCTCTATTGTTGGGCTACTGCTTTGAAGTGGTGTTTCTGCGATCTCAATGGGAATGCGCAAACGCCAGTATGGTTCTTCAACTAAGAAGAGCAGTTTTCGCAATGAGAAAAACAAACTTCAGTTCCAGTGGGGTTGCTAAAAGAAGGTCCCTGATTTTGCACTAGCTGCTCTGCTTAGGTACACGAAAATTCAATAGGTGATGGAGTTAGCTCCTGGAAAGCCATTAGGCAACACCAATCAAGCTTCGCTTATTAGAAGTGAGAGCCTATGCAGTTTCCGGACTAGTGGTTTGATTTTTAATCCTGGAAACGTATAACACGGATATGCTGCCGCAATACCTTTGTGAGGTCAAGAGGATAGGCTTAAAGCCCGTCAAGAGCACACATATCAATAGTGAATAACAGTTCTTGCGCCTTTATTAACCATCGAGTTAACCTGCCGGTTTACTCGCTCGAAGATGTAATACATACTGGTGTGTTTAAGTTGGCCTTTATAGGGAGAAGGCGGAAAAACGTTTCACACACACACAATTCCGGTGCTTGAGGAGTGTGAATATTCCTTCCCAGGGTGACATCAGCTTCCACCTCATTTGTCCTTCTCCATTTTCTTTCTTTTTGTATAGCTTCCACAAATGACCTTCTCCTGAAGTCCGGGATTCAGGGGCCTGAGGGTAGACAGGCAGGCTCTACAGAAGAATATTAATGGGGCTTATGTAACTGACTCTACGAGTTTCAGTCACCTTGGTGGGCATCTCGATTTTACTGAGGGGGTCGCCTTCCCACCTCCTCTCTCTCCTCCCTTCCTCATCCCTTTAAAACCTTCTCTTACCAAATACGAAGTTTCAAAACGCCACAAAGGCAGCAACAGGAAGCAAACTCATCCTAGTTAAGAATCAAATTCTGGTTTCAACTGTCCGAAATAAACTTGTTCGGTGCAAATGAGGTTCGTATACTTCAGGCAGAGGAATTTCTGTGTTGGTTATAAAAGAAGAACAGAATGGCATCTTTTCCTCTCTCATATCCCATTGGCAAGTTGTTACCAAGTGAAGCAAAAACCCCTCGACATGCATCTAAAAGTTTTGCTACTAATTTCCTCTTTCCACATCTCTATGTATACCATAACAACGGCACCACAATCAACCCCCTTCCATATGTGAATGCGTTAATTCATGTATATCCTATTGCCCATTTCTTCCAGGCACAAGTGATGGCCAGTAGAAGTATCTACCCATCACAGCAGATACAATTGAAGCTATGTGAAAGATTATTTATATTTCCTCAGCTGGTAACTGGCGCGGCATACTCGTGCATACTGGCAGGACGGAATGCTTTGTGATGGAAGGTGCACGGGGGAGAGGGCGTGGGAGAAGTGGCTCAATAGAAGAGAAGTGCAATGCAATGCCTTGTTTATTCGACCACCTGGAAGACTGGAGGTCATGTTGGCAGTCATCTTGCCCCTGATTGGATGAACTGGTCTTTGGACCATGGTTAGGTCATAATTCGATCCTGTCTCTCGCCCTATAACTAAGTAGTAATTGTAACTTTATGTGTTTCTTCACTAAAAGGAAAGTATCTAGACCCAATAAAAAGCCTTAGCTCTCTTGAGTTTCTAAAGGGGGATTACTAGGATGTGGCAATGTAGTGTTCCAAGAAGAAAGCAATAAATGGAACTGAATGCATGTATTTCAGATAGAACAATGACACCAAACCTGAACTTGACCCGAAGGCCAATCGACGCGTACAAGGACCAGGCGAAACCTTGAGTAACCGCTAGACATCAAGCGGTTACACAAAAAAGTATTACAGGCAATGATGTGAGATAGAGACCGTGATAGAATGATTATTTCTCAAGACCTAGGCATGCTTTTAAAGACCGTGAGAGTCTGGGAGCCTCCGCTTTTAAGTAGTAGCGAGCTGTTGTCCCCACAACGGGGCTGTGTTAAAGCATTGCCGAACGCCCATTGTAATGTATGCTAGTGCGTTTAGGTTGGCCTTTGGGGAAGGCGGGCGAAAAATCAATTCAAACGCGAGTCCAGTGTGTGAGAAGAGTGAGGATACGAACCCAGGTTGACATCGGTTTTCCACCTCCCCAATCCTCTCTCATTTCCTTTCTCTGTACATGATACCGAATAAAGCTTCCGCAACTAACCTTCTCCTGAATTCCGAGATTGAGGGACCTAAAAGTTAACAGGCAGGCTCTACGCAGGAGGCCGCTGCTTTTAAGTAGCCCCGAGAGTGTTTAACCATTAAAGCTTCATTAAACAGATGGAAAGGGGGGTTAAACACATTCATGATCAGGTTAGCAATTCATACCACCTAAGTAAAATTAGGCAAAAGAGAGTAAGAATGATTATATTTAGTCAATTTCTTTCGCACCACAACGAGTTTTCATAATAAACATTTGCAAATAAAATGCATAAGAAATGCCATTACACTAGTTTATTTTTCTTAGTAGATCAAATCCAGTGGTACGAATTAAGATGGTAAATTACACTTGAAAACTGTAAAGATTGTCATGTCAACTTATGGCAATATCAAAAAGAACTTCGATTTCACGACTTTAAAATGATCAGTGGATTGATGTGACCCTCAGTAGCGCTCGGTACAAACTGTTAAGTCATGATGCAAGTTAGATGTGGGCTATGGGATAAAGTCAGGTGAAGGAGGAGCAGAGGAGGTGGGCGTCAATATCATGCCAACGGCTGGGTTATTCGCGATTTGACTTGATGTTACATCAGCAGTTGGGCAAACTCAGAGGTGGTTGAGAAAGGAAGTCGAGTCGCCTAAGCAGTTGGACCAAGAGCGCCTCGCGCCTGGACCGTTTTATTAAAAATTTCGATTCTTGTGCTCAATTGGGCGGTGTCGAACTCTCGATCCCACTTCACTGCAACTGATTTCCCCGCTTATGGGCATCTTGAGCCTAGATTAGCACCCCTTTTAAGGAAAATTAAAATTTAACGAGTCCACTTTCTCCTGGGTTGCGTCTATCCGTAATTTGCGGAATGTTGGGGACTGTGGTGGTGTGCAGCTCCTCGGCCTCTTTCACTTTCATAGGCTTACCGCGTAATTACAAAGTGGAAGCCGAGATTGATGCTGTTGGCATAGAGCAGGGCCGACAGCTACTGGGTCATGACATGCAGATCGAAGAGTGAGGTTGGGATGGTCGCACCAACACCACCATCGTCATCACCACCACCACCACCAACAACAAAAACAACGTTTTAACCAAATTCAACATACAATCACATCATCAAACGACCACCGCCTACAATCAGTCGGATTTTATTCGAAGCAATAAATATGGCCATGTGAAGGCTCATTGGTTCGCATCAGTGACCAATGTCCGTTACGTCGCGCTGACGGAAGTCATACAACCACTCCTTTTCACTGAGGTTTGGGCTGTGTGAGGGTGAGTTCGAATATTTTTCTCTAACTTTTATCCCGTGTGGGGGGAGGGGGAGGAAGGAATTTAATTGCTTCCTCATTGTGTCTTCTCTGGGGGACATTCCTGCGACAACATTCGGGTTTGGAACATGGACTGTTGGGCGAAATGGACTGCAATCAGGTGGATGATGAAGTCATGCAACTTTATTTTATCCTAATTGTCTGTAATTTGAGTTTAATATTCACTTCTCCATTCTCTCGACTAGAGTTGTGAGATCCACCTCTTTCGGTTTAAATAAAACTGATTTCACTTACATCAACACGGTGGCGTTGGTTGTATTGGAAGTTGGTCATTTTTCCACCTGACCACAGAGCATCAACCTTTGACTGCCATTTGATTTGATGTTATTGTGGTAAAGTTTACATATTGCTCCAACTTTAGCATCTGTAACTCTGCCCATGTAGTTCACTAACCGACCAAGTGGCATAACGTTGGCGTCAAGAGGTGTCTCCATTCCTCATCTGACGAATTCTAGAGTCAACTGCTCCCTCTGGACTACAGATCGGTAGGATCATAGAAATAGTCAAAGTGGCACTAGTAGCGAAGGCAGGGAAGAGACTCGATGCCAGAAGGCACGTTTGTAGTGGCAATTAAAAATTAGGACTTCAAAGTATTGTGACTATGACGTCGCTACGTTCTGTGCATGTAAAAGTAGGTCTCAGGCACTGATTGGATGTTCTCAGGCATCTGTTGGGGCGGTTTAGTGTCGCTGCCATATGTTTACCGGACCGGAGTGTTTACACCGTACGGGTGCAGTGGACCTTTCCGTTCAAGCCGTGACATTGGGTCAACGCCCTGACTGGATAACGAGAAAGACTAAAAAGGTAATTACGGTCAGTGGTTTCCTTTAAAAAACAAAACCGCCTATCGATATAATAATGTGGCACCTCCAAAACGCGTCTGCTGTTCCTCCGTGGGCTCACCGACGACATTCGGTAGCGCAAGTACTATCGTTTGAACTGTGGATATTGGTCTGCTGTCATCAATGTCGATTTGGGTTTGGAAAGTTGTCCCAGGGCCAGAAGATGCACCTAACTTAATGGGCATTATAATTTTACACAATTTTTTTCGCCTTGTTCCTTTCTGTAGTGATCGCTTCTTCGCCGGACGCCTCTCATCTATGACTTCATTTCAAGCTTCGGAATACAACGCCATCGGAGGTAGTGGAACATTAACTTTCCTCACAATTTATCAAAGGCTTCGTGCCCTCTTCGGCACGCAGGATCAGCTCCTGAGAAGTTCTGGAGGGCTAGATTTTTTGAGAAGTATATGGCTTAGAAACAAGAGTATGAACATCGCAGCAGTACTACTTACTAGCAAATTAAGTAGACTATCAACCATTTGCTCATTTCTTCAACTTCCGTGGGTACATCTCCAAAGCGGCAGCATAAATGTCTATTAAAAGTATTAAAAGCTTAAAAAGCATGATTAGGGCCTAAAAAACATTCCTACACTCTATCGTCCTTTTTCAGCCTTAGAAAGGCATTGTAAGGGGGTTCAGTGACAGAGGAAATTCCTGTGACATGTGGCGGAGCGGATCGGCATGCTGTCAGCAATGGTGTCTAACGAAACGATTTAGTGTCTGTAATCATATCATTCTGTTGTTTAGAGGAGCAAGAGAGGTGCGGCACTAAGGCGATGGAAATTCAACGACACCTCAAACCAATTGTCTCAGGCAGCTACGGAGGTGATGAGGTGATTGCCGGTGAATTAACCGGATTTTCTGAGCCTTCGAGCCCAAGAACGATGAAACCTGGGATGCCACCAACGCCTCTTAACTCTGTTGTCATTACTGATGCTGATATCGCTAACCTCATCCCCGTTGACGCGTCACCTCAGACCATTCGTCGACTTCTGGAGAGCGCGGTAAGACAATCTTATGCTTTCCTCATTAGTCACTCACTGTCGGCCAAATGTATGGAAGAATAAGGCACAAGTTTAAATTCTAAATTGTTAAATTCTAAATTTAACAATTATACAACAGTGTTAAAGGAGGTGGGAGAAGTAAACGATTGAATTTATGCAAAATTATATTCAAAATAAGTCTGAAATGGGGTCCAGGTTTTGAGAGCGACTTAAGGCCAGGTGATTTTAAATTGTTTTCCCGCCTAGTGAAATACCTCGTTTAAGAGAGTAAGTGCCCGGTGACGGGTCCAATTCCTCCCTAAGTTCGTAATACTACGAAAGTCGCTGAAGCGACTTCAGTACTACACGCGCCGAATGGCTCGTGGTCTGTCGACATGGCTGACAAGAGCAAATTCTCATGCTTTCAGACCAGCGACCGAATCTTATCAAGACTGATAAGTAAATGAAAAAAATTTCGCCCTATTAACATTTAGTTCCATCTTTGTAGGTAGCCGAGGCGACGAATGTGATTGAGGCAGAGCCCAAGAAACCGTCGTCCAAGACTGAATTGACCAACAACTGAACTCGATTTCCCACAATCCTAAGTTCCATTATATGCATACAAAGACCAAAACATCACGCACTTGCCATCATTAAACCTTACGTCGAATGTGCCTCAGGTGCACTTATGGAGGTCGTCGTTTGAAATGCTGTCCAGACTGAACAAGATGGAACTCCCTAAAAAGGTTGCTTTTAAGAAATTTCAAAAGGAGAAGGTAATTGAGGTGGAACGTTGTCATGAGTGAGCAATCGGCATTCGCAGAAAGCGTCTTCATAATAACAGTTGTTCTGTTTGCTGACAAAATAGTTCCAAAGCACAGTTTTCATGACATGACAAGGAATGGAAACAAGACAGCGGCAAGTTTTACCATCGAGGAAGAGCAGTAAAAAGACCGCCCTTAATTAGTTCACAAAAATTAACGTCCGACGGAAGAGGTTGCAAGAATTCTAAATCATGTCAGAAGGAAAAAGTTAGTCGCATTAAACTGTGACGACCCTCAACAAATGGGCAGTAAACAATACCAGCCTTTGACAATCACTTTTGTCATACGTCTCTGCAAAGTACACATTTGAAACTTAACGGGTGTTAGTCGTGAACCTCATGGAAATTCGCCTTAAGGAAGCGTCCAATGCAAACACCACCAATACGGACACGCTAAATGACTGGTTCATGGAACTTGGATATCGTTCGACGACAATGAAGTAGAGAGCAAAGTGGAAAAGGGAAAGGGACGCAAAAAAGTAAATCCATGCGAAGCTACGTTGCACCACACTCACTCAGATTAGGATTCTGGTGACTATCAGTCAACGTATTACCTAGTCAGTGACCGAGGGCTAAGGGACCGCAGATTAGGAGAAAGTTTGCATAACTCATGCAAGTGTGGTGACAAACATTAATGGATTATAGCCGTCTTCCTTACACTTAACCTCTGAGAAGGCTCAAGTCAGTGCCCATTTACGAAAACGGTGAATAAAGGTGTTTGAAATATAATGAAAGCTTTATTTTTGACATTTGCATGGACTGAGATACAATTTGCTAGATATAATGCCCTCTTGAACACATATATGCAATTTGGCACCCGTTATTAGTACACAACAAGCCTTCTTCCCAGTTCTAAATGCATTAGTAGAAAAGTGGACAAGTTTCAGAATGTTAAGTACTTCATAATTTGATTATTAAAAAGTACTTTAAATCGCTGTCTTTTATTTAATAAAGCTCATTAAAGTAAAAGCGACCCTAAATAATTACATACTAAAACGCACTAATGGTGGTAGGATCGTTATTGCTATTAACCCATGGTTTCAATCAACTGAATGGAACGCGCTTATAGGAAAAGCGTACTCAAATAACATATTAACGTGCGTCTGTCCTTTTGGATTACTTAAATTTTCTTTCTCCTTGTTGTTTATTGCCTTCATAATTTTGTGTAGATGAGCTCACGAGATGTAAACAAACCCAAAAAGTCCACTAACATCCTGTTATCCGATATCAAACAGGAGCCCGATTATTTGGGAACACAATCCCACGTTCCACACCCCGAGGCACCATTTACGCCACCTTGCGTAAGGAACTGTTTGTCTAGTTTAAGCAATGCGCAATGTTTTCTGACTTTTTTGCGGCGATTTCGTGCATTAACTAAGATTCCTTTTCACCTGTTTTATGCTTAGGCAATCTCTGCGGATTGACTGCATTTGTAAAATGAATTTTTCACTGTTCTCTTTTATGCTTGGGAACGTATTGACACACTCCTGGTAGAGGTGTTAGTCGCTACACTCGGAGCACATGCTCACTTGGATGCTGACTTATTTACTGTACTCTCGCCTGCATTTGAAATGCATATCAATGTCATTGTTCTCAGACCGTCATCTTATCTAGTTATGCCCTGCTGTCTATGTATGCTTTGTCAAATACATGCGAAATTCACTTACGCAACATGATCATCTTTTCCCAAATTCTCTAATGTTTTTAACATTGTTAATACCCCTTTGTGAATCTTTTGACTCTACTACAGTCTGCTTTGATTTGCGTTTACCTTGCTAAGTGATCTACAATGGGCTCTTTTTCTCTATCACGTCCCTATTTCAGTGCGAACCCAAGCCTCGGAATTGGGAAAATGAGCGATACGTCTTCTCAAAGTTTTTACTTTTGCTATTTAATTGCTCACTTTATCTATTTTTCCGATTAAGGAGGTAGACTTTTGCTTTTCATGCAAAGAACAGAGTGATTACTGCTTTTTCGATAAGTCGAAGCATTTGACACCTTGATTGGTTTAACCTCCAGTCTTATGAACCGGAACACGTTCCGTTTTAACCTTACTGGAGCTTTTTACTTAAATGCAAAGAGTACCTATTTTGTGTCCTTGATTGTGGCATTCAAGTCTTACCACTCCTTAACATTGAGTTTCAAGTCTGACCACACCGGTACAATTACAAATCACGTCGCCCTTAGAACGCTCAGCACTGCAATGATTTGTCGGCGCAGTCATTTCATTAGCAGCATAAAAAATCCCGATTATTCCACCTCCTCATTCTTTGTGGTGATTCAAAGGGCCTGGTAACAACGCTGTCCTTGCTCTTAGAACAAGCTCCATAATCTACTTATCCCAGATCTTAAAAGACCGTCGATGTCAACGTGTACGTAGATAATACATCAGTAAGTGCTAGTTTAAGGACATTTCGACATTATTCAATGCGAAGCTTTTGTTGTTGGACTTTGCAGCTTCATGCAGTCACATGCCCTCCGTTGGTTCACACCTCACACTACATGTCCCCTAATGAGCACTTTGGCTGCTGTTGCTCCTGGCAAGTGCGGTTGGCATGATGACTGCTGTGTTGATGGTCCTGTTTGAGCTTGCAATACAATCTACGTCCCCTGCACTTTTCAAGTGTTATCAATATTGTCTGCTTTCTAGAACTTACTGTCACAGGTGTGTTCGCGAATTGACAAAAGCCGCCTTTCTACCTGGCATTTTTGTAGTTGTGACCTTTAGCATTTCGAATTCCCAAGCACTGCCATGGGCCTTGTCGACAGTCGAGTTCCTGAAGGGCTCCTAAAGTAAATGGCAACCTCTGAAAACATCCTTAACCTCCGAAATTTTTACTTACGGTCTAGCTTATGCGTAAAGTACTGCTTATGCAAACAGTAGATTTATCTACAAAAGACTGAAAGCTTGAGAATTATCTAAGTTTTACGGTTTGAATTGCTAAAATTACATGAATAGGTTATACCTTTGTTTGGTATGCTGGGCACTTTTCGCCACTGACTCTCCAAAATTCTCCCAGAATTCTATGATCGCTGACTGTAGACTGTCTGAGGCGAGGTATTGGTAGGGAGGGCGGCTGTTCATCCAAGATACTATATCTATTTCTTTCCGTTTGTTTTAATTAAAGGCGAATTAAATCGCATGAAGTAGTGTCACTATGACCTTAGGAATTTACATTATCGGGTTGTTATGGGGTTAGCATCACGCGTATCTTTTTCATTGAATGGCATTTTGTACATATACCTGCCTCTTGAGCATGTAAATTTTCCGAGAGTCTCAGTGGCAAAATGTGCCTTTAAATCAAGTCGGCAATCGTGCAGTTGTTTTTGCTGATGACAAAGAAGAGTCCCAATTACTGCAAGCTGCGTTATTGCCAATTCTCACCTATTCCACCACTTAATCGGTAGATTTATCTTTTGGTTAGCACCATCTACTTAGGCATGAACTGTTTTAGGACATATGGGTAAATCCTTTGGTAATTTGACCTTTTGTGAATAATTTTTTTTGCCAGTCCCATGGAAAAGTCAAGCTTTGATCAGGCATCCAGGGTAAGTTAGGCGTTCTCCCAGTTGACTCTTCAAGTAAATAACCGCAGTGCTAGTTTGCTGCGTACACATCACTTCGGTCAGGTCCGTCTTTGAAGTGTTAACATAAATCCAGTTTTTATGCTCCTACTCCATACGTTATCATTGTCGCTTCTCGGCACATAATAGGATATGGTTACTGGCAGGATCCTTTTTCAGTTTCCTCGATAATGTTCGATGTTTCCCCGTAATTGAAGGTGAGGGGAGGAGTTTTCTCGATCATTCGTCGACCCGTGTTATACACCCATTTTTCATTGTTGCCTGTCCGGAAGCTTTAGCACATCTAATTGTTCCTAAATGCTTTCTTATTTCTGCATCCCGCTACGTTTTTTTCCCCGTTTCACCATATAAGTGCACATGTAAACTGTTCTACTCCATCTGATCGTCACAGCAACTGCCTCGCTATCTGTTCGTTAATTTTATCGTTACTCTTGTTTGGTGGAAATACTTTTAACCCACTTTACCTCAACACTCCCTTCACAATTTACACTACTTTGCTTTTACACTTGTTTCGTCTGATTATTGCGAAGAGGTTGTCATTGTCACCGAAGTGTCAACAACACCGGGAGTTCAAGTTAAATGCGTTCTCTATGCGCTTACAGCAAGGCTTTATTTTATCCATTTATTTAAACAATGGTGGACTCGAAGAGTCTTTGAAGTTGAGCCCCAAAGAAAGTAGACTGCTTTCGTAGAAGCAGGTCCGGGTATTCGTGGAGGAAGCGAACTTGCTTTCCGATGAAATAGCATACAAGTTCTGTCTTGGCACCTCAGTGTGCCTCCTTTTTCCCGAATAGATCAAACTAAGTGCTGGGGAATGTGTAGCGAATTTTGGTCGAGTCATGGCCTGTATTAGATTTTTTTTCAATCGGTTACCTTGCAAAAGGAGTGAATTACGGATGCGTTAAGTGTTATAAAGCAAAAAGGGATTTCAGCGCCTATGAATACGTTGCTTGGACCTGCTGGAGGCTATTTGTCGGTTGTGATTTTATACCTCATTGCTTCTTTCGGTTCTTCCATGGTTCAGTAAACCTGCAGTAGTGAACACCGTTTATTATATTTTCGTATGGATTAATCATGCTGCAATGATACGGTTTCTACTTTAGTGTAGAAAGTAGAAACCTTGTTGAGTACAATGTTTGGAAATCTATGCGGTGAGTTTCTTTTGGAGCCATTGG